ATTATATACTCTATATTTAAGCATGCATTCGCCTTGGCCTTCGCTCGCTTTGCTCGCAATTTGCTTCTATTATTATTATTCTTTTTTTACGCTCGCTCTTTCTTTACCGTTAGCTGGCAGGGAGGGGCTGGCCGCCATGCCCACCTGCCCATGGCATTTAAATATAATTTTATGGCGTCGTCGTTCCAGCTCGTGGCTTTCTAAATCACTTGACTGTGGCGTCATGTGCTTACCTACATCTGCCTGTCTCTGTCTGGCAATCTACATCTCACTCTTTCTCAGACTACCTCACTCTCGATATCCTTGCTGTACTCTTGTATCTGTATCTTTCGCATTCGCTCGCGCCATAAACACGCATGCGATACATATTTTATGGCTGCAAATGAAATCTACAAGCGTCGCACACACACACACACACACACACACACACACATTTAACTCTTTTATTATACGCTGCATTACACTCGCGCGCATTTGTTCAGGAACTGTCAAGTTTTTTTTTTTTTGTTCATCACATATCATAAATCTGTGAAAAACAAAAACTTTTTTCCATTTTATGTAGCCTACTTTTTGATGTTTTATAAGGGCATGTGAATAGAAAACTAACTAAACGGACATGCTCTAGCGTCGAGTAAGTTGGATTTGTTTACAGTTATGCAATACTTCATTAAGATATTCTAGTTGGTGGCTTTAGATACTATTTTTATACTCATCCACTCAAAGTTTTCATGGGAACTGAGCTTATTTAAGAGATATATATAGAAGTGGAAAGAATATGAAGACGAGATAAGGGAAAAATTGGAAGGGAGAAAATTTTAAGGAAATAGAAGATTACAGAAAGCATGGATTGATAGAATGGAAGTGAGAGATCAGACAAACCTGGCTAGATGAACTCAGATCTACGGCCCAATCAAGAATACCTATAGGAAGGAAAAATATGAAGAGGAAAAGGTAAAATTATGAATATATAAGTAAAAAGCAGAAGAGTTAAAGAAAATGAAGAAAGGAGATGACAAACAGATGGCCAGTTGGATAGATGTTAAAACAATCATGGCTAAACGGAATCAGCTCTTCCGCCCGATAAAGCATATATATACTTAATGGGCTGTACCACACCTTCTTCATAAAAGAAGAAATGCTGTGAGATCATAGAAAATCTGTGAATACAAATAGACTATGATGCTCCTAAACCATGTGATTGAATTGATAAAAACTCTAGTTAGTCAAAGTAAAAAAAATAGATTTACTATGATAGAATTTGTTAAGATTACCTAATTGTCAACAATACGAAAATTTATCGAATGGCATATTTGAATGTGAATCGATAGTTGCGCCACTCACGAATCAAGAAGTATAGTTGAGTCTGTTATCGGGTAAAAAATACCTTAGCTAGAGTCATGCAATGTTCAAGAGGGTATACAAGGCGTTGCTAGTCAAAATATAGACTCTATTCAGCAGGCATATATGGAGTAAAAGTAGGGTAAGGAAAACAAACTATTCTGATTTCATAATCTCACTCAGCCCAGCTTTGATTGCTGCTTACCCAACTCCTGTGTTTGCTGTGTAATTTCCAGCAGTTCCTCAGTGTAGAGCTAGCCCTAGCCCCTATTCCATACACCCCATCATCTATCATAAGTGCCTTGACGACCTTTGAGCTAACAAATTTTTTGGGTGGCTCTCAGGCCCAGACTGTTTGGCAATCAAATTGCCATCAGTCTCTTTCTCTCTCTCTCTCTCTCTCTGTTTTTTTTAGCTAAAATGCGCAAAAGATTTCGCTTAATTAATCATTAATATGCACGCGCCTATTGATTTTCTGTTGTTATTGTTGCTCTTGGGTTCGCTGAACCCCATCCGCTAATGCGCCACGCCCCCAGCCCCCAGCTCTCGTGGTGTTCAGCTCATTATGCAACGGTTTAGTTGGCAGCACACAATGAGCGTTATTGCCCTTTGTAATTGGCAGCAGCTGCCACAGCCACTGCCCTTGCTGCCCCTGCCCCTCCCCCTCCCCCTCCTCTGTCTGCTGCTGCTGGGGCGTCTCGTTGTCGGCGTCCATAAAATCGTTTTGCGCAAATGACATGAAAGCCAAAACCAAGCCAAACCCAACCCCAACCCTTGCCTTACCTAGCACTAGCCTACCCCACCCCCCGCCCCCCCAGCCCTGCGCGGCTGCAGCTTACGCAATGATTGACAAGCTGCGCACCTGTCGCGGCGAGCTGTTTGCTCCTTCTGCAGCTTAGCCAAATGCAATTGTTATTTATCACCTGTCGAGCTGCCGAACCATTGCGCCGTTAGCATTAATTAAATTACCAAGTTGAGAGACGGGCATCGAGCAAATGACAAACTTGTTACACTCTCTATCTCACTCTCTCTCTCTCTCTCTCTCTCTCTCTCTCTCTCTCGCTCTGTCTCTATCGTTTACCTTTCAACTATGGCGCCCGGTCTGCCGTCTTTTAATGGCATTTAATAATGGGCTTCGGTGTTTGTGTTTGTATTTGTGTTTTTCTATCTCTCTGCCTGTGTGTGTGTGTGTATGTGTGTGGAAAATGGCGCAATGACGTCGTCCAATGATGCTGATGAGCCAACGAGCTGCGTGGGTGGGCCAAAGAGTGGGCTCATTGAAGTGAGTTTAGTGAGCAAATGAAGATTTAGCTAAATATACCAAGATGGCTGATCGATGGCGGAAAGCACTAAGAAAATAAACAGTGACAACTGCTAAATAGAAAAGAGCGTGTAAACAGTTTGACAGTCATTATGTACATTAAAGTTGGATAGCTACAGAAGAGAGAGTAGTAACCAAAAAGTAAATGATATATCCAACTAATGCAATAAATGCTTCATCGTTCAGTTCAGTTAAATGTTGTACAGTTTGGCAGCCATTGCTTAGATTAAGAGCCTCCTATAGAACGAGAGCTGAGCCAGCCTTAAAGCGCTTACAGTTTGTGAGCTACACGAATCAATTTATGGGAAATTATCTTCAAAATTGTTACAGTTTGACATGCAATGCAGGTGTGTTACAGTTTATAAGTCTTAGCGATAGAAAACTACAAATTATACAGCCCGTACGCTACAGCTGCTCATTGACAGTTTGACATTCATCATTAAGCAGGCACAGTTTGAGAGCTATAGAATGCTCAGCAGCGCAACTTAAGAGCAAACAATATAAACTACTGACAAGCTTAAGACTTTACAGTCTGACAGTCCGACAACAGTTTGAGAGTCACTGGCAGTTATTACTGCGAATACTCCATAATGTATTTACTTCATTTTAAATATAGCTGATAAATACGCAAAGCAAGCATATTAAGTGTTACAGTTTGAGAGTCGCCGCTTTAAACATGATTTAATTTAATGCTACAAACTCTAACTAAGAGTAAATACAAAACTAAATAAAATAGTCTTTTGTTAATCTCAAGAGTCTTCACTTATGTCCAGTCTCTCCTCGAGAGGCTGTCAAACAGCGCAACGGTTTGAGCAGCACTGAGTGCGCATTGTTGTTGCGTTCGAGTGGCTGCTTTGACAGCGATGCCTCTCAAACTGTGTCAAGTGCACAATGCAAAGTGGGTCACTGCAAAAAGCAGCAGCAGCAACTGGGCGTGGCACTCGCAGGGGCAGGCGGCGGGGCAGTCAAAATGCTCAAACTGGCGGGCAGGATAAGGACGCTCTTATGTAAAGCATTTTATGCAGGACTTGACTCTGAAACACACTTTGTTAAACGAAATTAGACCAATTTCATTTACAATTTAATGGAAATTAAATATATAAGCAAATTAATTTAATTATAAATTGAGAAACAAAATAATATGAAATGAATATATAATT